CAGCTCTTTGTCTAAGTTGACCATCTCAAACTCTGTGACTTACATCGGCCATTTTGCCTTTGCAGGTTGCAGTGCTTTGGCGAGCTTGAGCATCCCCGACTCTGTGACGGAAATTGGTAATTGGGCCTTTATGGGTTGCAGTACTTTGGCGAGCTTGACCATGCCAGATTCAGTGCACATTGGGAATGGTGCCTTTGCGGGTTGCTCTTTGGCAGAGGGAAGCCAGAAGCAGTTCACAAGATCAAGGTGACCATGCTACCAAGAGAGGTGAACGTTCGGACCCTGGTCGGTCTCTGGTACAGAGATGGGCGACCTTAACACGGCTGTTCCTCACCCTCTCTTGGTATCTCAAACCTTCGACCTTTCAAACATGTTCTGAGGAAAAAAACGAAGAGATTTCAGGGATGAAGGATGAAGGTCTGGTCGTCATTGGTGCAGCACTTCTGGTGTGAACACAGGTGAAAACATGGTGACATATGACCCCCAGCCACATGAAGAATATCGATGGTTAGTTCTTTGGTTTGTAGGGGGTGTTGTGTTTGTTCATTGGTGATCATGTTTTGAATATATTTTTTGTCACCATGGCGAATTTCACCTGCATATGGAGTAAAAACTCAGGAGTCCAACACTTGACAGGTCGATCAACATGTCAGATGCTGAGTCAGATGTCCTGGTCGTCCATGCCACCACATTTTTCCCGATTGTTGTTCCACCTGTTTGGTGCTCTGCACCGAAGCGAACCAAGCTTCTTCAGATAGGGAAGCCGATCACTCCTCAGCCCCTAACCCGGGATCCAGGAAAGTACCCGGTTCCCCGTATCTAAAAAACGGTGATGTGTTTCGGTACACCGTTGGGTCTGGAGGGTCCTGAAAAACCGAACCGGGTCGTGTGAAGGTACTTTCCTGAATCGCGGGTCGGCTTAGGGCAGTGTTCCCAGACGCGAGAGGACTAGTGGGACTGGCAGGCATAGGACTGCCTTCATTTCACGGCTTTCGGGGTGGTGGTATTGCGGGGGGTCGACCTCTGAACCGGCAGAACGGACGAACGCAGTCCCGTCGATGGCGGTCGTGTCTGGGTGTTGAGGATCCCAGCGCCATCGGAAAAGTGACCGACGGGTCACCAGCTCCATGTGATCCAAAACTCGGCTCGATCTGTGTTGGACCTTTCGCCGAAAGAGTAGGGTGTCCTGTTTGGATGTCCCGGACAGTCGCCGATACGTAGGGGCCCGGGGCTTCCATTTTGTTGGCGTTTTTTTTTAAGTTTTTTAGTCTGTCGCGTCGCATGGTGGAGAGTTAATGTGTTTGCTTCTTTGCTTCTTCCACTATCTCCTGCTTCTTTGCTGGCGTGAGAGGTAGACCATCCAGGTCTTTGTAGGTAAAAAAAATGGGGGTGCAAATTCAATTCGATTATTGTCATATGAATCCCAGCTACCACTTCCATTATACAAGGAACCAGGGGGTTCTATATACATGTATTCTTCACTGGTGACCAGCGACATCCGCGACATCTGGATGCCGTGGGATACCTTGGACGTTCATGACTGTGACTCATGTTGACGCTTTTGACCCTCTTACCAGAGGTTGAACAGCCTGAAAAAGCCCATCCCATATGTACCACAGACCAGGGTCTTAGTTCAGGTCTCTCAACCTCTCTTGGTACAAGTGGTGGGTGATTACCACCAGTGGGGCAAATTGAGTCACTGCCATATTATCATATACCTATATAGACCATCCTGAGGTTCATACAGGATGGTGCTGGTATACATTCTGTAGCTGTCATGTGCAGATTTCAATTTGGACCCACTTTGCACACCAAGATACACAAGCTTTTTGGCAGCTTTGACATGATTGTACCGCACCAACTCAACACCCCAACCCCCGAAACCATATGGTGGGAGAATGCCTTCATCATCGTCGTCGTCATCGTCATCGTCTATTTTTGGCAAAACCGTAAAACATACCATGTAACACCCAAAAGCTTTGCAAGACATGGATCCTCATGGAAGTTTCTGCCAACAGAGGTTGAATGACCCTATAGACTATCCCATAGGTACCCCAGGTGACGGGTCCTAGTTCAGGTCACTTAACCTCTGTTGGTGGGTTTGGACGACTCAACACCTGTGTTCCGTTGCTTGAGGGAGTTCCAGATGGTGTCGGAAGGTAGCATCGTTGTTCGTACCTCACCGAGCGCAGCGCAGAGGCTCCAAACCGTCCTGCTGATGAAACATCACTGGGAATTCCAGAAATTCCAGTGGTCTGTAGAGCACAATTTCTCACAGCACTCCGATCTAAATCATAGACCATGTGTGACAGGTGTCGACGATTTTGTGCTATGTTTGCATTGCTTGTCAAAATCGCCTGTCCAGCAAAGCCAAACATGTGTTCACGATCATAGAGTGCTCTTGAACGCTAGCGACCCCCTAATCCAAAATCATCCAAATCTGTACACTAGTTTCGGAGTCATGGCGAAGAGATTTTCAGCTGTGCAGCCAAATGGCGAAATCCTAGTTCTTGAAGTCACGCCGGAGACAACAGGCCGCTTGCTCAAGCAGCAGATCAAAGATGGACAGTGTTGGGACGAGCTCACTCGCCGCACTACAAGTGTGGAGATCATTGTCGGAGACAGCCAATTGCTGGCCGATGATGCAAAGGTGTTGGACGCTGGAATTGCTGAAGATAGTGCTCTGACAGTCGTCTTCAAGCAGAACAAAGTAATATGTTCCGACCAACATGCGATCGCCAGTCTTGGTGGCATCGTCGACTCGCAACTGTTCCTTGCAGTCGAAATTCCTCATGGAGAAATACAAATTCTTCAAGACGCTTTTGCGGGGTGCTACAAATTGGCCAACTTGACCGTACCAGACACAGTGACCCACATTGGGGAGCGTGCATTTCGATGGTGCACCTCGTTGGCGAACTTGACCATCCCAAACTCAGTGATCTATATTGGGGATTCTGCCTTTTCGGGTTGCAGTGCTTTGGCAAGCTTTTCCATCCCGAACTCAGTGACTGACATCGGGAATTGGGCCTTTGCGTGTTGCACTGCTTTGGTGAGCTTGACCATCCCAGACTCTGTGACCCACATTGGGAACTGTGCTTTTGCGAAATGCAGCTCTTTGGCAAGTTTGACCATCCCAAACTCTGTGACACACATTGGGAACAGTGCCTTTGCTGATTGCAGATCCTTGGCAAACTTGACCATCCCGGAGTCTGTGACCCACATTGGGAATAGTGCCTTTGCGAATTGCAGCTCTTTGACAAGCTTGACCATCCCAAACTCTGTGACCCACATTGCGCATGATGCCTTTGCGGGTTGCAGTGCTTTGGCGAGCTTGTCCATCCCAGACTCAGTGACCCGCATTGAAGATGGTGCCTTTGCGGGTTGCAGTGCTTTGGCCAGCTTGACCATCCCAAACTCGGTGACCTACATCGGGCAGAGTGCCTTTCACTCTTGCACCTCTTTGGAGAGCTTGACCATCCCGGACTCAGTGACCCACATTGAGGACTATTCCTTCCAAAACTGCACCTCTTTGACCAACTGGACCATCCCGGCCTCTGTGACTTACATTGGAGAGTATGCCTTTGTTGGTTGCAGTGACCCGCCTTGGGAATGAGGCGCTTCCCCAAAGGGGCCGCCTGGCGCTCTTAGGCAAACGCCCGACGTCGAAACGAGTCGCCTCCCGTCGCCGAACGCGTCGCCGGACGTCTCGAACGAACGGAGTGCCCGGGGCGGGGAGGTGAGCGGACTGGCAATCCATTGAACGAAATCCATTGAACCTTCTCTCAGAGTCTTAGGAAGTGATCTACCTTCAACGATCTTCACCGGAACCAAGAGAGGTTGAGAGAGACCTGAACGTTCGGACCCTGTAGAGAGAGGCCTGAACTGAACTGGTTGAGAGACTTGAATTAAGACCTGAACTGGTTGAGAGAGACCTTATGGGATGGGCTATAAACACGGCTGTTCCACCTTTTTTGGGGGTCCACATGTGTTTCGCACCAAGAATCCGAGCTCAGGCCCTCGGCCGGGGTCCGGACGAAGAACACCGAAATGCGTCCGGGGTCCGGACCCGAAGCAAGCTCTACGTATTTGAGGGCTCGGATTCTGAGGGCATCCAACATGTTTGCCTTTCCACTAAGGGATCCACATACCTTCTCGGGTTCGGTACGACTGGGCCCTCCAAGCCTACATAAATACTCTCGAATCACCTTCTGAGAAGGTATGTGGATCCACTGTGAACTACTAGAGAGACAAAAGGATGGCGAGGCATTCCCCCAGCCACTTGAAGAACACACAGCGAGTCGATGGTTATAGTTTTTGTTGTTGATTTTCCTCCTCAGGAGGTATTTGGACCCTCCAAACCCATCCCAAACACCTTGTCAGAAGGCACTTTGAGGCGCCTAGGGTTTGTTTGGTGTTTTAGTTATGTTTTGGTGTGGTTTTGTTGTTTCTTCCACTATCTCCCTTTTCTTGGAAGGAAAGACCAGATGCTGAACAGAGACCGTTGTGGCAGCATGAATTTCACCTGGTATGGCCCCGGTATGGCGTTTAAGTCTTACCCTGGAGCTCCCAAGACCAGCTGAAAAGGTACGAAGCTTTTGGAAAAACTGGGGGGAAGCTTGGTGCAGACTTATTGGTGTCAACCCACCCCATGTCGGCCATGGAAGCGCGGGTGGATCAAACATCCCTCGACCCGAATTCTGTTGGTCAGACTAGCTCATCCATTCACAGCTCAGCATCGCATGTGACCGGGTGCTCCGGCTCCTCGAATCCGGACGGGTGAGAAGAAGAGGATCACGTCGGTTCTGTTTTTCTTTTTTTCCGTTCCGACCGGCCGACCCAATGATGAATGGCCATCCATCCATGAATCAGACCAGCACCTTCAGTTCGGGGTCACCTGGCTGGAAGCCCCAGCCCACTACTAAGGGACCTCGAGCCAGAACACCCCGAAAGAAGGTCCAGGTATGAATCCATGGAGTTTTTTCCTCCTTCACGTCTGGTAGGTGAACATGTATGTGCATCACGACATTAGCTTGGGAGCCTATCCTTTGTGCGTGGCACCTCGGCGTTGTCACGGTCACGGTGTCACGGTCGCTTACGGTGAACGATCCACGGTGGGGAGCGCGAAGGGCGAAGGGCGCGGACGGCTGGAAGGGATGAGTGGAGTTAGGTGGATCAGTGGAGTGATCTTCCTGGAACACCAGTCCCTACCAGAAAGAAACGGATGGAACTGCTCCCCAGTCCCAACCATGTCCGTAAAGGATTTCAAGCTGGCGCCGGGTTCCAAGCATTTGTTTCTGCTTGGGACTGGGGTTCCAGGCAGGTAACGTTCCTTTCATAACGCCCAGCCAGGTCGGGTTTTGGTACCAGCATCCGACTCTGCCAGGTGACCTGACACGAAATGGAGAGTGTCCAAAACGCCTACCATTGGAGGTGCTATATGTGAAAGGGCCGTAGTGAAGCTAGGTTGAAAGTGCTAGGTGTGTGCTAGTGCTAGGTGTCTCCAAAGACTTTTCATGGCTTTGAGAGCCGCTGCCAGGACCCTCCGTTTTCGGGGTGCCCTGGTATAGGAAGCCTATAGACGGTATAGTGTGGGGTAGTCCAGCCAGGACACCCCTTGAAGGGTCCGAACTCACTGGGCCTTCGGCCGGGCGAGCAAAACCGGATGGACCATTCAAACCGGATCTTGCAAAGGACCGTAACAGGTGGCTTTGGGTGATTGTTTGTTGTTCCCTATATAGGTAGTAAAGACCAATTCTGGTGAATATGTTGAAAAATTCCAGGTTCCTTAAGCAAATCCAAGGTAATTAATTGAATAGTCTTGCCCAGACGCTCTATGAAAACAGCCCCTTTCCCCGTGCCTCACCAGCAGAGGTTGAAGAACCCTATAAACTATATCCTATAGGTACCCCAGGTGACGGCTCCTAGTTTCAGGTCACTATCCACCTCTGTTGGCAAAACCTATTAGGGATTGGATCGAAAGCCCAGACCTTTGACCAGAAAAACTTAGGCCCAGGGTCGCCTTATTGGGTGGAAGACTGGAACACACCCAGATGGGTGGCCCACTCGTCCGATTGTCGACCGCTCTGTCGACCTGCGCGAGGAATGGATGGCCCGAAGCTCCGCAGGAGTGGAGGGGTGCTTTGCGGCCGTGGGCTCCATCGATCATTCGATTCAGCTGTGGAACTTAGAGGAGCGCCCACGCGAGCGCCACGCGTCCCACGCGTGGCGGCGCGTCCTACGCGACGCCGGGGTGAACGAGCGTGGGGAGAGCACAGTGGGTTTGGAAGGAGGCGGAGTGAAGGAACGCATGCATATGGCGGAGGGAAGATGTTTGGCCGTAGGCTGACGGTTGGGTACAAGGATGCCAGGTCACCACCTGCGACTTTGTTTGCAGAAAGCTCCAGTTCGGAGACCTGTTGGAAGGTGCTGGAATTTGGTCTGCAAGATAATCAATCTCATCATCAGAAGACCAGGAAATCTCATATAGGTCATCTGAGTGTTTTGATATTCTTAGACACACTCCCCGTGAACGACGCCCTACTGGTCGCTCCAAACCCGCAGATTGGTGAGAAACCCCAGACCCCCTGACCAGTTCCAATAAAAGAACGGTTGAGCTGGTGGTGTAAAGCCCAGAGCCCTGACCCAGCTTCGGCTGACCGGGTCCGGCTCTCAGGGCCGGTCGACCGGGTCGCGTCGACCGGGGCATGAAAGGACCGACCTGAGACCCGACCGCGCCGACGGACGGAGATCAGCGGTGTCTCACCGTCGACCGAGACCGACGAAGGAGCCAGACCCTTTGGAGCCCGTGCAAGTTCTGGGCCGCCCGGCCGGTCCGCAGCGGAAGGTCCGGCGGAAGGTTTGCGAAGTCACAGGCCGTTGGGTGGTGCCGTTCCAGAGGTGATGTTCGTTGGCTCCATGTGGAACATCACTGGATTCAGTGTCAGAGGATTCAGAGGTCTAGTGAGATCATTTCTGTGTATGTGTGACAGGTGTTGAACAGTTCCTATAAAATAATTTATTCAATGCTAGGCTGTCGCAATATGGCGCAAGTACCCCATTCGCTGGCAGCCAAACATGTGTCCACGATCATAGACGGCTCTTCAAGGCTAGTCAAGCCATCAACTCACCAAATCAGTCAAGGTCTTTGAGCCATGGCAACCAAAATTTCAGCGCTGCAGCCAAGTGGTGAAGTCATGGTTCTTGAAGTCAGGCCAGAGACGACTGGGTGCGAGCTTAAGCAACAGATCAAGGAAGGACAGTGTTGGGACGAGCTCACTCGCCGCACTACAAGTGTGGAGATCATTGTCGGAGACAGCCAATTGCTGGCGGATGATGCAACGGTATTGGACGCTGGAATCGCTGAAGATACTAACTTGAGTGTTGTCTTCAAACCAAACAAAGTGATCTGCTCCAACAAAGACGCGATCGCCAGTCTTGGTGGCATCGTCGACACGGAACTGTTCCTTGCGGTTGAAATTCCTAATGATGAAACACGAATTAATGAAAACGCTTTTGAGGGTTGCCAAACATTGGCAAAGCTAACAATCCCAGATACAGTGACGCACATTGGGGATTGGGCCTTTATGGGTTGCAGCTCTTTGGTAAACTTGACCATCCCGAACTCAGTCACCCACATCGGGCAGTGTGCCTTTTTGCGTTGCAGCTCCTTGGCGAACTTCATCATCCCAAACTCTGTGACCCACATTGGGAATCACGCCTTCATGGGTTGCAGTGCTTTGGCGAGCTTGACCATCCCAAACTCTGTGACCCACATTGCGAATGATGCCTTTCCAAGATGCACCTCTTTGCGGAACTTGATCATCTCCAACTCTGTGACTCACATTGGAAATTATGCCTTTGCGGGTTGCAGGGCTTTGGCGAGCTTGACCATCCCAAACTCAGTGACCCACATTGGGGCGTTTGCCTTTGCAGATTGTAGCTCTTTGGTGAACTTGACCATTCCAGACTCAGTAACCCACATTGGTGGTTATGCCTTCAAAAACTGTACTTCTTTGGCAATCTTGATCATTCCTGACTCAGTGGCCCACATTGGAGATGGTGCGTTTCGTGGTTGCAGCTCCTTGGCAAACTCGACCATCCCAAACTCAGTGACCCACATTCGAGATGAATGATGCCTTTCGAAATTGCATCTCGAGATAGCAAGTTTGACCATTCCAAACTCAGCGACCCACATCGGAGAATACGCCTGGCAGCTGGTGGCAGCTTCTCTTGAGAGTGCCTTTCATGTCTTTGGGTGTCTGTGGCCCACACCGAACTGGGCCGCCGTAGCGCCCTACTCCGCCGGCTTTCGCCCGAAGAGACCAGCGCCGGTCGTCAGCCGCGAAGCTGGTTTTGGTCCTCTCCGGATGGGTCGTCGTTCATACTTTGGGCGTAGTGGACCACCAATCACCTTCTCATAGGGTGCTTGGAGCCCTATATAGGGATGGTTCATGTGATGTTGAGGTTGTTACACCAACCGTGGACCAACCGTGTGCACAGTTCTTCGTTGCAATTCTGTTAGATAGGCTGCAACGATCCAAGGTCTTCCTCTTCATGTTTTGGTAATGGGGTCAGTCTCATTTCTTTGCAGGCCAGATACTTGAACTATTCAATAGCGCATGGGGATTGTAATAGCACATGGGGATTGTCCGTCGTTGGACTAGTTCATCGCGGGTGGCGGGTGTTGGTGAAAACACAAATCGTTGAAGATGTAAGACAATGTCGTTTTGACAAAGGAATGGTTTTCCGACTAAGAGCCAACAGGTGGAAAAGGGGTTGCCTTTCCGGCAAATCTGAGTTGAGTCAGACACAAATCATTGAAGAGGTAATGAGGATAGCAAGGTGCAAATTGCCAAGCAACAAAAAGTAGAACATGCCGAGCGCAGACCGCTTGCAAGTTATACAGCAACTCAACAAACACCAGCAGATGGGTAACAGGAACTCTATTAATCCTTCAGACCTGGAGCCGACCCGTGAAAGTACTTCGGAGATGTTGCGGGCCCAGTAAAGTAACTGCCCAGACGCTCATGTCTCATATGGAAGGGTCGGACCCGAATCCTCTGGAGGGGTCTGGGGTCTCAAATCCATAGGTTTTGAGGGACCAGTCGGGCTGTTTGGAGCGTCTGGGTGGTTTTTTTAATGATAGGGTCATGTCCCAAGCTCTGTAGAGGACTGCAGACCCATGGGTCAGTCGGTTCCAGGCAGGGTCATGATTCATGATCCTATATACAGTACGGTGATCAGAGGTTCGATCGAAGCACCTTCGCCGTGCCTCCGTTCGGTGATTGAGTAGTGGACCGTTGAGACATCGAACGGGGTGTGGGACGTCCCATCGCTCTGAAGCGCGAGCTCCTTCGACTCGGCCGACTCGAGCCCAGGCAGCGCACGGAAAGCCAAGGGCGCGAAGAACAAGGCCAAGAAGAAGAAGAAGCCGCCCGGGAGCAGCGACGTGACTGGCCCCAATTCGGTGACGGTTGGACAGGCGACACGTTGTTGGTTGTTTCATGGTTGCCAGACGCGAAGGATTCAGCCCGGCGACCAGGCTGCTTTCACTTACTCACGGAGTGGAGATGGGTTGTGTGTGTGTGCAGTGTCCATTTTGACAAGATGGTGTTCGGGCAGCACCCCTTGTTGTTCAGCATGTTTATAGGGATTGCGAATCCCAGACACTCCATGGGACTGCCATATATATTGCCTACAATGACCCCCCGACCCCCCTGGCACCACCCCTGGCCGTGAAACTCGGCAGTCCGGACTGCCAGTCCCAGACGGGTCGTGTTTGGGTAGGGATTGCCAATTCCCTTTGGGACCGAAGAAGGGTTGGGTATCAGGTGTTTAGACCAGTCTTTCACCAGAAGAGGCTTGGCCAGGTTGTTCTATAGGTTAGACCACGCAAGTGGTGAACTCGAGAATCATTTGGACAGACAATTGCCTCCATCAGACTGAACTCCAGAACCCTGGCTACAAACTCAAAAAAATCGGCCTCCTGCTGAACAAGCACCGCTTCAACACGGTTTGAGCAGGGAGTTTGAGCCCCAAATCCGCTTCAGCTGCTTTCAAGTTGCCTTTTTTTTCTTCCACCCGAGGCTATGGTCCGCCAGGCTGAGGATATGGGCCACGAGCCCTAGGGTAAGACGATTCTCATCGATCGTCCATGGTCCGCCATGGTCCGCCCGTTGCATCCACTCCCTGGATGCCGAGGAGGATCAGGGAATATCGCTCCACCACCCAAGGAATATCTACCAGCACCCGACTCTACAGGTGCTTCCTGGTGACAAGTCCGGTGCCCAGGTGAAGCCCACCTGTTAGGGTCTCCCAACAGCCTGGCCAGGAGTGTCCTGGTACGTATCCCCAACTTAAATACATCTAAATACTGCATCGAGCCTGATTGGATGTCTACGTCTCCGTGTCTTTTCAAAAAAGAACTCATTGGGCCCTCTCATCGAAGCCACTCGCTTGCTCGAAAAGCCCTCGCCACCCAAACGTGGGGGGCAGCGCTGTTTTTTCCCATCTTCACCCTCCCCCCAAACCCGGCCTCGAATGTGCGCTTAAGAGCTATTCACAGCACTGTTCACAGCCTCGAATGCTCGGCTTCTGCTCGAGGTGAAGGCGCATGAGGGCCCCGTGCTTTGTTCCTCGGCGACGCGTCGGCTCGCCACGGCTTCGCCGTCGGCGGTGCTCCGGCGGTGTCGTCGGTGGATCGGATGGCTGTGGATCGGTGGAAGTTGGAAGAGCTCAGGCTGTGACCAAGGAAAACGTGTTGCAGAGAATGAAGTATAATCATATATATTATATTAAATAGTATAACATATATATATACTATATTCTATCATCCTGGGCGTTTTATCCTGGGATCGTTTGTGAATTCGAAAGGATCCATGCGCCCCAAAAGAGACGGCATTCCCACCATGCTGGTTGGATCCGGAGCGACCGGTCGCGACCGGGCGACAGTACTGGGCATGTGGTCGGTGTGGTCGGTGGACCGGGAGGGATCCAAGTAGACCTGGAGAATCCAGTGTGTCCTCTACTTAGATGAGCCTGGGCTTTGCTAGTGTGTTAAGTAACTCATTGTTAACTAGCTTTAAGGGAGTTGTGTAACTATATTAGCTAAGATAGCTGAGAAGTGGACATGAACCTTTAAAAAACAGGTACGACTGGGGCCCATGTTCCGAGGACTCCAGATAGGTAGTCAAAGCCATGGGGACGGCTAGATGGGTATGCGTGTTACCTCAAGGAAACTCATCTAAATCAGTGTTACTCGTTCAGAAAAGGTCAGGGAAACGATCTATATATATATATATTCAGAAAACATGTGCACAGAGAGGGCACGTGTCACAAGTGGGAAACATGTTCATAACAATTCCTGAAATGCTGACGCATTCCTGAAAAGCAGCATGTCCGCACATCTTGAAACTCCAAAAGGTGTGAAATGCCACTTCAAAACAATGCCAACGCGATGCACCACACACTGTAAACATTTGCACTTGTGCACGGTTTCATCATGTTCTGTCCACAGTATGTTGTTGCTGTTGTTGTCGCAGATAGTGTCGCGGTTTGAACAATAGGTGTCCTCTTTTTTTGTGTGTGTGGTTGCTTCCTGGCTTCCACTATTGCGAGTGGCGCTGAGACGCGTTCTTTTGATCATGTCCTTGGATTGTTTTGCTGGGTCTTTCTTTGGGTTTGAGCCTTGAAGCCATGTGTTTTGAGTTTGTTGAATGTTTGGTTTTGAATCTTTGGCCACATTCGTGTTTTGAAGAAGCTGAGTCTTGACTTTAGATCAGCTTGATTTAGCTGAGTGTGTAGTTGTGTGTTCTTTCACTTGCCGAACAGCGCCACAAATAGCGCATCTTCGTACCGCGCCGGACCACTCCCAGCTGCGTAGCTGCTGCGTAGGTCGTACCTACGCACCGTTTGCTCGAAGAGTGACCTGAAACAGCTTCTCAGAAGCCCGTGGGTCTAACAACATACCTGGACCTTCATGTCAGGGTGTCCTGGCCAGAGGTTCATTAAGGTGCTGGGGCTGGGGGTTCCAACCAGGTGACCCCGAGTTCCTGTGCTGGTGCTGCTTCTTTGTGTCGTCTTTTTTCTGCTTCGTTTTCCATGTTCCAACAGGACAGATTGAAAAACAGGACGTGGTCGCTTGGTGAAGTCCACTTCTCGGTTGGCAAGTATAGGCTTCCTGGCCCACCATTAATTTAATAGGCTTTATGGAATCAACGTGCAGGATTTTACACTACAAACACCAGGTCAACCATTTTTGTTAATGGTCTTGGAAGTCTAGGGTATACCAAAGGGCCCAGGGGTTATACAAAGTAATATTGTGCTTGCTTGAGCGAGTGACGAGCTCCGACTGACATGAGACCTGGCATGATTAGATTTGACATGCTATAGAAATTGTGAGATTTGAGCTGACTGTGTTTGCCGAGGCTTGCATGGAAACTCCTTTAATACTGCGGTGCTGGCACCTGGGCATTGGTCAACCATCGAAATGATAATTACTTTTGATTAACCTTGTTTGCCAATACATCTGGGGAAATACAGATGACAATCAGAGGTTCGATGACACACTCATCCCCCAAACATGTCAACTCAGATGGGAGTCCAACCACTCAACTACCGAACGTACGGAGCTACGAAAAGGACGGTGCTTCGATCGAACCTCTGATTACCGTACCGAACTGCCCCCGGGCTGCTGCGGATTACCGTACCGGGCCACTGGTGGTTTCCCAGTTGATGGATTCATGCACCGCCTCGTGCATGGCATGCCGCGGAAGAGGATGAGGCGTACCCGGTTCATGCAACTCCCTTCACCGCCTCATCCGTTGATGGTTTCTTTGGCATACCGCGGATGCAACAAATGTTTCGGCCAGGATCATCCTGGACCGGGGTGTCCTGGCGAGACCGACTACCCTACCGTATTATACGTTCTACCAGGCCTCCAGGGCCCCAGGGCACCCTGGTTCAGGAAGTGCTAGGTGGGTGCGTCATTTTTTTTCGGATTCCGGGCTGATCACCATACCCCTAGAAGTCCAACGACTGAAGTAAAGGAAATTCCTGGACTCGGGTCACCTAAAGACCATTCTTTTTATTAAGCCTTTGACTCCCAGGGATACATCCAGTTTGCTCCGTCGATGATGTTGGATTCTCGCAGATGTTGGACCATGCCGGGGGGAAGTGGATTCATCAACTAAGCGCATGGCACAACCAACCAGCAACCACTTGGATTCTGTACCTTGGGGTCATTTTGATTCATCAACCATCCACATTACCACAGGACCATTCCACATGGGACCCAGCACCCAGATCCTCAAAGAGGTTTCACCCAACTCTGGAAGCCGCCCCAGGAATCCGCTACGACCCTGGACCTCCATTGGAAACACCTTTATGATGATTGAATTTCTCATGCAAAAGGGAACCCTAACCTGAGCACCCCGCTGTTCCCATCGCTCCATCGCTCAAACCTCCGTGCCGTCAGCCGTGGCCACCAACAAAGGCTAAGCGACCTGAAATAGGACCCTAGGGTATCAACCTGGGATAATTCGAAGATATAGGCTTCTTCAACCTCTGGCTTCTTCCCCTACCCGTGTCTTTCACCGAACCGAACCGAACCGAACCGCTGAACCAGCGCCAGCGCCGCCTGACCGGACGCCGACCGGGACCGAGGCCAGCGGCTCGGCGGATCGGACGCTGAAGGTCTGGGACGTGGGCGAAGGTCTCGTGGCGGTGAAAAGACCGACGGTCGGACCGGGGTCGACCGGTGGAGGGAGGAGGGCGGTGGGCGAGCGCGGTGGGCGAGCGGCGAGCTGTGGTTTTGGCGATGGTTTTGTTTGGTGACCATTTTTGGGTGACACGGTGAAGACCATGTTGCTAATGATGTTCTCTAAGGTGATTGAAGGTCATACCTGGACCTGCTTTCGGGGTCCTGGCTGGAGGTCCCTAAGCCAGGTGACCCCGAGTTCCCTCTGCTGGTGCTGGTAGCTTGAAGGTGCGGGGGAGATGCTAGTAGCCGGGTCCTGAAGCACCTGGTTCAGTGAAATGGACCGTGGTTAAGCCACGCCACGCCTGAGCGACCAAGAATTGCTAGGGCTCCTGGCCCACCTCCTGAGAAGGTGGTTGGGGTGGGTGCCAGGGGGGTCTAACTATCTGAGGATATGGTTGGAGCCCTAGGGAATATCAATTCCCCCACCTGAGCAACTGTGCAACCGGTGGTTTCCCTTTCTGGGGAGGTTGGACGGACTAAGGAGGACTATTTTGGGATATTTTGGGAACATCTGAGGGTGCCGTGATTCTATGTTCAAGGCCATGAAAGCGTCCACTCCCTGGAAGGGTTCGATGTCCGAGCAGTGGGAGGACCATGACATCTGCGGAGTCATGTTCGGACCGGGGTGCCGGTTCCGAACGGAGGATTAGGGATGCCCCTGTCACATCCACTCACTTAGGAACCAAACACCACCCCCGAGATGTGATGCCTGGTATATTAATAGTGCTTGCTTCACTTTCAGGATAGATCTCCAGGAGTGTACGTGTGTGATATCCCAGACACGACTAATGGGAGTGCCATAGTTCTGCCGCCCCATTGACTCTGCAGGAGTGTAAGTGCCATAGTTCGGCACCCCGGTCCGAACGGTCCTCCCACTGTTCGATAATCGAACCCCTTCCAGATATACGTGGCTTCGGAATCCATGAACATGAGGTGTTTTTTTTGGTTCCGACTTCCACTTCTTTGAGCCTCCAGTCCTTTGACCCCAGCCTTCGGCTGGCGCTCGCTGCGTGTGAATGCGGTGCGCTCGCAAGTGCTGCGCTCGTCATCGCCGCATGGCCCATCCGAATCCTAAGGCTCCTGTGTCCACACCTTCGATCACCACTCGGATAAGGTCCAGTGCGCAGCTCGGCGTTGGTCGTAGAGCTGGGATGGAGCTTCGACTCAGTGGACCTGTATAGAGGTTTCAGGGTGTCACGAGCGAATCCACGTTGGCCTGGGTCCAGGGTCCAGGCCTGTCCCAGGCCCCATCCATTGAAACCTGGTAGTAGGATAGACCCAAAGTTATTTGAAACTGTGAGAGAACCGCCAGGGCAGCAGGCTCCAGCAAATGGGGGTTTGGTCTATGTTTGCCCTTTCCCAGGAGTGTTTTTGGGAGGTCTCCCTCTTCCAATACCAAAGTCAGGCATCCAGTTGTACCGAACCTGAGAAGGTATATACTTGGATCAGTACTGGGATGGTTATCGATCAACCCTTTTACACCAAAGCCTTCACATCCTGCAACCGTGACGTGGGTGGCCTGGCCCCCAACAGAAAGTACTATTTGTCCATCGGAAGACCAGCGGATGGAGGGGTGCCATCCACTTCCATCTTCGTTCCGACAGAGGTGGGTCAGAACCCGAACGTTCGGCTATCCCAGGAACCGGTACCCCAGGTTTTCCGGGTCCGACTCGTTCAGGTGACTGGATACCCCTGTTGGAGGCTAAAGTAGACCCACTTGCCAGGAGTCACATGGAGGGCCTGGGTGTTATGGCTCGTCCCATCGGGCTGTGGATGTGACGACGGGGCACCCTAACCTCCTTCCGAACGGTTCGGAACCGGCACCCCGGAGCTCACGTGACTGCTGGTAGGTTGAAGATTCACTCGAATGGTGGACCCAACAAATCTCTGGGTTTCGCCACCATGACCTGCTCGTGCCAGTACCATTGGATCCTGTCTTACAATTGGGTCCAACAAGTCTTGTATTGTATGACCACGACCTGCTCGTGCCAGCCACCTTCAGGGGTCGTTCGCTGGTTCGTTCGCGGCTTCGCTTCGCTTCCAGGTGAAGTGGCACCCCACGGAGCAGGCGGTCTTGTTGAGTTCGGCCTTCGATGGCCAGCTGGGACTCCTCGATGTGCGACAGCCCAAGCAGGCGGCCCTGGCCGCGCCACTCGGGCTGCGAGAGGAGTGGGAGTGGGAGGAGGCAGGAGGAGGAGTTGTTATACTTCTGAGCAGAAGTAGTAGGTGGGGGGTTCAGGAGTTTGGTTATTGGATGGGTAAGTGGGGGCTTAAGGAGTTCTGTTTGGACGTTTCCTTGGCAATCGACCGGTCGTTGGCACAGGATGATCGGGAGTATTCCTTGAGCCGCAGTTGGGACAGGAGTGAGCCTTTCGGTTGGGATTTCGGGGGACGACGAAAGAACACCGACAGAGGTGGAGAGTGACCAGGTCACTAGGACCCGGAAAACCAGGGGTACCGAACTAGGATATAGTCTATACCAGGACCTTCCAACAGGTCACCACCTGCGACTTTGAAGTCTACAAAAGCCTCCATTTCGGAGACCTTTTGGAAGGTGCTGGTAGGGTTAATCAACCTCTGTTGGGAGGACCGAAGAACGGACCGAAGGCTCCGTCGGGGAGGTTCAGCACGAGCTGCATCACGAGCTAGCCATGTCAGGACTGTGCTGTCAAAAGGAACTGGCTGCTCGTAGCACGTTTTTCTGAACGCCAAGCATTTGTAGATGTTTCGTTTGAGTCCATCAGGATGTCGACGTGGTTTGTTCCTCTAGACACCGAGCTTTGTTCATCTAGACACGCTAGACTGCTAGACGCCCAGTTCTGGTTTGAACTTCCCCTACAATGTCCAGTTTGACCCAGTAAAACCTGGTCCTTTACCTTTTTCGTATCGGTTTTCTCCATCTTTTACCCTAAAATGAGGTCAAACTGACTTGTACCCATACACTCCATGTATGGCATATATGCCGCCCCATTGACCCCCCTGGCACCACCCCTGGCCGTTTCTCGGCAGTCCTATGGCAGTCCCATGGAGCGTCTGGGGTAGGGTTCTGTCGTTGAGTTTGCACTTCCGACGCCGGCGTGGTCCGGGTGCCGGGCGCTCGGCGGCATCGGCGAAGCCCGCTTCAGACTCGGCGTCCCCCCAGTGGTCGAAGGCTACGCTGCGGAGTGACGGCCAAGCAGCAGCCAACCAGCAAAGCCGCCAAGCATTTGTCATAGTCATAGTCCACAGACCAAGAACTATAATCAGTTGGAATCCAACTTTGTTTATGGTTCTAGATAGATAGTACTAGTACTAACTTGTAGATTGAGCATCTTTGAGCCATGGTGACAAGCATTTCGGCACTACAGCCCAGTGGTGAAATCCTGGTTCTTGAAGTCACGCCAGAGATAACAGGCCGAGCACTCAAGCAGCAGATCAAGGACAGAAAGTGTTGGGATCAGCTCACTCGCAGCACTACAGTTGTAGAGATCGTTGTGGGAGACAACGACTTGCTGGCCAATGATGCAACGATATTGGACGCAGGAATTGCTGAAGATACTGTTGTGAGTGTTGTCTTCAGACCAAACAAAGTGATATGCTCCAACAAAGGTACGATCACCAGTCTTGGCAACATCGTTGACTCTGAACTGCTGCTTGTGGTCGAAATTCCTGACACTGAAACGCACATTCATGAAAGCGCTTTCGAAGGTTGCGACCCATTAGCCAAGTTGATCATCCCAGACTCTGTGACCCACATTGGCGATGGTGCCTTTGCGGGTTGCCACTCTTTGACAGACTTGACCATCCCGAACTCAGTGACCTACATTGGGGAAGATGCCTTTCAGGGTTGCAGCTCTTTGGTAAACTTGACCATCCCGGGCTCAGTGACACACATCGGAGAACAGGCCTTTGAGAGTTGCAGCTCATTGGTTGACTTGATCATCCCGAACTCAGTGACCCACATTGAGGATGCTACTTTTCGGTATTGCACATCTTTGGCGAACTTGACCATCCCAGACTCAGTGACCCATATTGGGAGAACTACCTTTGCCAGTTGCAGGTCTTTGGCGAGCTTGACCATCCCGGACTCTGTGACCCACATCGGAGATTACGCCTTTGAGCAGTGCGAAACATTGGCGAAGCTGACCATCCCAGACACAGTGACCCGCATTGAGCATGGTGCCTTTTGGTGTTGCACAGGTTTGGTGAACTTGACCATCCCAAACTCAGTAACCCACATTGGACATGATGCCTTTGCTGGTTGCAGCTCCTTGGCAAACTTAACCATTCCAGACTCCGTGACCCACATCGGAAATAAAGCCTTTGAGGGTTGCAGCTCCTTGATAGACTTGACCCTCCCCAACTCAGTGATCCACATCGGAAAGGGTGCCTTTAGGTGTTGCAGATCTTTGTCAGACTTGACCATCCCGAACTCACTGACAGACATTGGGAACAATGCCTTTCAAAACTGCACCTCTTTGGCGAATTTGACCATCCCGAACTCAGTGACCCACATTTGGGATTACGCCTTTGCAGATTGCAGCTCTTTGCCAGACTTAGCCATCCCAAACTCAGTGACCCACATCGGGACACGTGCCTTTTCGGGTTGCAGTGCTTTGGTAAGCTTGACCATCCCGGGCTCAGTCATGGACATCGCAGATGGTGCCTTTAGTGACTGCAGTTCTTTGGTGAACTTGACCATCCCAGACTCCTTGGCGCGCATGGTGCCTTTACCAGCTCAGCAAGCGCAGAAACATCCCAGACCACCGTGACCTTGGGGCGAGCTGGACCACTCTATAGTCATCAGTGATCCCTCTCTTCTTTGATGAGCGTGAACCTCCTGCATTGGTTCGTTCCTCCCTTGCGGGCTCGAACTGGGTTGCAGCTTGGCCACTCAGCTGGCCCACCGCGGTGCGAACCTCCAGCGACTTCAAGTCCGACGCCACTCGCAGGGCCGCTGTCCGGACGGAGGATCTGTGGCGCGAGACGAGAGAAAAGCCATGCTGTTCGTGCGGTTCGCGTCGGGCGCGGGGTTCTGGGGGTCGGAGGTCACCCATTTCCAGTTGATTCGGAGGATGGTGGCTGTGCATGTTGATTTGATATAGGGATTGGTGAGCAACCCCCAGGCCCCTGACCTTCTTCCAGGCTGGAAAATCGGCCTGCCTACATTGACCCCTCAATCAGACAGGTCGCAGATCCGGTGTCCGACCCCCCTTTGAGAGGATTCGGGGCCGATTCGGGGTCCGTGTGAAGCTTCTGATTGGGAAGCTTCACCGCGGTCACTGGGCCCAGATCTGTGTAACTAGGACACTGGTCATTTGACATACCTGGAGTCCCCGAGTCGAAGGGATGGAATTCCCCAGTGTCAGCCATTTTCTTGTGGATCTTCAAGCTGGCGCCGGGTTCCAACCACCCAGACGCGACCCGTTCGGTCCCGACCGGAGGGGGTCGGACCTCATCCGAAGCTGGGAAAAGGGGTCGGAACGGGGAAACACCTCACCAATCCGTAGGTGTTGCTTCGGGACCAGGCAGGAGTCGGGACCGGGGCTGTTTGGGGCGTCGGTTCACGGAGCGGAGCGTCTGGGCAGTGCTTCGGAGCGGTGCTTCGCCCAACCATCCGAACCGATCCGTTGGACCCCGGAGACGCTGGACCCAAAGCGGCTTTGACGCGCAGCGCTGGTCCTGTAGCCGCCTTGATCTCTGGGCAGTCCTCCAACCGGAACTATGGTTAGTCGTCCTCCAAGCTCTCTTCTGTCCTCCCAGCTGGCTCGTTCGTCCGGTCTTCAGCGTCCCAGGTTGAATGGAGAGGCAGAATCTGCGATCTGGAGCCGGCACAATCCCTACCAGTGCTATGCCAGTACCGACAATGGCGCCGTGCGCTGCTACGACGCTCCTTCGGCGAAACGAAGAGAGTCTGAGACGCCACCAGAAGCATTTGGTCAGGAGGTAGGGCCAGGAGCCCATAGGGTATAGTTTTGGTTGAGGACCTTGAATTCGATAGCTGGAACTTTAGCATGTACCGTTTTTTTCATACCTGGACCTTCTTTCGGGCTGTCGAATGGAGGTCCCTTGGTGTAGGGGCTTTCATTGGTGACCCCTTTGAAGGTGCCGGTACATGTGCTTGTTGTTGAATCAAATTGGGACCACCAAAACGATCCCAAACGCCATGAACGTGTGGATGTTGCCTTACGAACAGGAAGGAATGGTTGTGTTTTTTGCTTTCGAGATTGTTTAGTAGTCTAGGGAATTTGAAGACTCAATGGTACAATCTTTCGCCCTGACGTTCTTGTTGTCTTTTGTATCTAATCCTCGAAGCGGGCAAGCAGCATTTGTTCAAGACGTCATGGAACAGAACTCCCTGCGAATGCTCCATCTTCCCTATTCAACAGGCTTCCTCAGTGTCATGATGTGTAAATGACTCCTCCTGGAAGAAGACAGTTGTCTTGAAGACAAAGAAACCGTAAAGAAACCTGTCAAGTTTCGATGTGTTCAACCTGACAAGCCCCTCCAGAAGTGGCCAACAACAAGGTCAGAAAAGTGGCCAACAAGGCGGATAATCCCGTCTTGTGGACGCCGCTTGGCCTGCAACGGGCGGTAATGGTTCCTTGTTTGGTTGCATGCCACGCAGGATTCTGATGACGAATCAAATTGTACAATTGCCAGCAAACATCACCAAACATATATAAACCACCCAAACCAGGCATATATGGCAGTCACCTGGAGTGTTTTGGGTTATAAATACTGCCCGAAGACTCCGGGCCCTCAAATGCTTCGGGTCGAGCGACCCACTGCGTCACTCGGTGTCGAGTCTGACGCCGTGGACCTGGACCATCCATGTATGACTTGAAGCAAGTCCCTGCCCAGACGCTCATGGGCCCTCATATGGAGGGGTCAGGGGTCTCAAATACTTAGGTTTTGAGAGACCAAGGGCTGTTTGGAGCGTCTGGGTGGGAGTCCAGTTGACTACACCCTAGAAGACTAACATGGACCCTGAAAACCACTGTGGTTGGTAGAGGGGAACCATCTTCCAGGGGGTCATTGTCAGGGTCTATGTTAGTTTTCAGGAGTGTATTTGTTAAACAGTCTTTAGGTGATCCGAGTCCAGGACTTTCCTGAACACTTCCGGGTGGTGCCCAAAATAGTCGAACTGGACTTCTAGGGAAGTGACAGACATGAAAACCCCGAACCACAAGTCACCTTCGACGGGGGTGCCGGTTCCGAACGGAGGATAGTGGCAGGGGTGCCCCTTATCCACTCCACAGCCCCTGGATGGGACTAAAAACCACCCCTTTGTCACCCCTGGAACATGACCCCATGGTCACTCTTGAAGTCCCTGTGGTGTCCTGTGGTGTTTGGGTTGGGGTGAGGAGCTCCTACAGCTCCATGCCCCGAAAGCAGTGGTGGTGCAAAGCAGTGCTTCTCACGTGAGCGGCTTCTTCGTCCTGGGGCTCCTGGCCCACATCTGAAGAGCTTCGGTAGGGACAGACCCCTACTACCAGAACCTGCTCAGCTCATCAGAATGTGGGACAGCCCCAAAAAAAGGAATCCACATACCCTTGCCACCCTTTTAAGGTTTCAAGGAACAACATCTGGAGCATCACCGCTCTGAGCCTTGACATCACGTCATCTTTCTCAGTCTCCTGGTGCCGTCGTAGAGCTCTACACCTGTGCCGGCGCTCGCAGTTCACACCGTCCCTGACGTGTCCAAGTCTTGCGAAGTCTGAAGTACAGGGTCTTTGACATCGGTAAGATAACCACAACACTAGGAGTCACACTTAAGGGTGGTTTTCATGGCCTTTTCTTTTAAAAGGCTATTCATGGACACCCGAAATCCATCGAAATCCCGAACATGTGTTTCTTTTGGCCCATGTTTGCTACATTGTAATCCCTTGTAATCCACCTATTCTCAGTGTGGCCCTTTGCTTGTGAATGACAGGGAATTCATTCCCCTCTCACTGCGATGATCACATCTCCGGAAACGTATAGAGCATTCACTTGGCTCACCTTGGGTGAACCACTTTCTCGAGCCCTAGTAGCCATGATCCAAAAACATACAAAATACATACAAGCAAACATACACCTATACCAGGACACCCTAGCTAAGGGGTTTCAATTGATAGCTCCTTAGCTTAGAGGTGATGTAAGGAGTCTCCATTCACCACCCCTTCTTGGTCCGGTATAATTACCTCTTCCCTGCTCTGGCTTGCTCACACTTAACACCACCACAAGTCAACCCAGTGCGTTTGGGGTTGTGTGGACCCATCTGGTGACTGGAGGAAGTGATGTGACCGGGGCCTCTACGAAGGAACTGCTCAGATGTTGACAAGGCAGCATGTGACCGGGGCTTTCGTACCTGGAGTCGACCCGTTCGTACCTCGGAAAATGGGGACTCAGTCGTACCTGTTGTTTATGGGGTCATGTGCCATTCTCTAAGGTACGAACTGGAGACTCCGCGTATACGTATTATAGTCTTTTGGGGTTTGGCAAGTGAAATGAGGATCATCCCTTCTTCGAAGGCATGATCATTGAACAGCCAAACATTCGAACACCCAATATCTAAGGGGGAAACCAACACCTATAGGAGGTGAAAAGAACACGGGAAGCCTGCAGTTCCTCTTTGGTTCTTCACCTGGTCCGCAGGTCTTCACGATCAACCTCTTAGCTCGGGATTCCCTCCGGGCCACGGCCGCCGCCACCGGCTGCCGTTGGTCCTCCGTGTCCTCCGTGTCCACCGTCCCAACGGTCGGGTCGCGTGGCGCGGGTCGTCCGGAACGGCCGAGGCTGATGGCGCACGACGTGGCCTGCACCAGCCTGCAGGATGCGCCCGCGAAGAACTTGTTGGTCACTGCCGGACTCGATGGGCTGCTTGGGCTTGGACGAGGTTTGAGGACACGGAATGGAGGAAGACAGAGGGATGGGTGAGAGACGCGGTTTTGCTGAAGCTTGAGCTGAGCTTGGCTTCGGCACCCTCAGGTTGCCGAGTAGTAGTAGTGGTGGTGGTGGTGGTAGTGGTAGTAGTGGTAGTAGTAGTAGTTGTTGTTGTTATTATTATTATTATTATTATTCATCTTCTTCTGAAAAGAGTTTGAGTGTCAAGAATGCGCTATCGAGTGAAGTGAGGTGAAGGGCCTGGGCAAAAGCTGAATTCAATAATGAAAAGATCCAAGTACCCTGGAGTCTCCAACACTGCATGTACCAGGACCTTCCAAGAGGTGTCTATACATAGCCTCTTAGTGGTTAAGGGGTGTCCAAAAACCACCTGTTGGAAGGTGCTGGTATGGAATATATGCTGGAGTCCACCTGAGTAGCATTATTTTTTTGGTCTATGAAGGAGTTTATACAAAAGTGGAACAGGTCCTGTTCGTACCTTGTACCTGTTTCTTTGTTCGGGTCATGTCGCGTTCTCTGAAATCACCATTCTCTCTCAGACGACGGGACGAAGTCAGTCGGGTCGAACGCCCGAGATCGCACGAGATCGAACAACGTCACGGGTAACGCAAACCAAAAACCACGTGACTTCGTCATCGCCAGGGATCAGATCCAAAAACCAGAGTGAATTCCTCAAAGCCAAAGGCCCCCAAAATGCTTCTGGAACCTGCGTCGCGCGCGGGCTGAACCTTCCGCACCAGCACCCGAACCGCGGGAGTGACCAAAAGCAGCGCTGGGTCACCCCGGTCAACTCCTGGAGTCCTCGGAGTTGGTTTTCGACGTCTCACGCTTGTTTGGCCAGTGACTGCCCCAGACCCCGTGGCACAGACCACCGTGGCTGTTTTGAAGGCCGTCCGGACTAGCAGCCCCGGTCGTGTTCTGAAAACAACCGCCAGTCTGGGACTGGATTGGTAAACAACGGGATTGGTAATCTTCAAGAGAGGTCTGGATTTTTACCAGTCCCGATAGTGTGGAAGGACCGGTGTGAACTGTTTTCGCTGTGAACTGTTAGCGGCTATTGGGTCTACCGAAAGAAAACATGGTGTAATTTGAAAGTTTGAAAGAGAGGACATTCCAAACAATGTTGAAGCTCATAAAGGACATGTTAGAACTTCCCATTCCTTCTTGAACCTGTCGAATCTAGAGAAAACCTACCTCAGCCTATTATCTCCATTGTTTGCTTCGTTGTTTTCCCGGTCTGGCTCAAACAGCATTTGCCCCAATTGATCAGCCACCTCGCCAACCGTTTCCTTCCACGCCACTCGCTCCGATTCTTGATCGTGCCATGCTTGCCCTAGGGCTCCAGTCGTACCTCCTCAGGTACGGTACAACTGGACCCGAACATGGCACCCACCCACCCGAGTCCCACCTTAGAAGGCACGACTGGAGCCCAAACGGGTGGTGATGTCAACCTCTTCAGTGTCAACCTGACTCCATCGTTCTCCCACCGATCGACGCGAACCATTCGTGGCGGACGGCGGTTTCGCCGTGGCGCCGTCACGCCGCGGTGGTTTCGGTCGAAGCGGTCGGACCAGGCACGCGAAGGTTTGGAACTTGGCCAGCAGCCCTCAGATGGCTTCTTGGAGAGAAAGGCTAGCCGTTTTTTGTGTTTCCATCCGGTTGGTTTTGGTACATGTGTGTGTTCTTTTTTGCCAGATCGGGTCAACATGTGTGTTGACATTGTTGAGCACGTACAATTAATGATGTACATAGAGTGTTGACCCGATGAACATGTTGACCCGATGTACAATGTTTGTGTTGAAATTCAACAAACATAAATGAGTGTATACCATTAAACAATTACAACCCAATGTACTCATTAAAACACTAATGAGTGTTTTAGCACGTTCTTTTTTCATCCTTTGTCCATCCATGGGAAGCTTTGGGAAGTGATTGGACCGACGAGATGGAGGAACTCCCAAGGCCTGGTACCTTGGTTGGTTGAACATGTGGTTGGCAGTGGTTTCGATGGCCCTGGCATCCCAAGATGTCTATCCGACAGCTGGGGGGGGGTTCACCAAAAAGCACCGAACTTGGGGTCCCTGTGCCATCTTCTCTCAATTCACGTCTTTCAACAAATCAACACGTTACAAAGGAATCCTACTCCGGGATCCAGTCGTACCTTCTCAGGTACGGTGATTGGAGACTCTTTGATGTAGGTGCCAGGAGGGTCCAGTCGTACCTTCTGAGGTTCGGTACGACTGGATCCCTATAGGGACTGTTTTTTTCGACATTTGGTTCGGGTCCAGGGTCGCCTCTGGGTGAGGTACCACTGGAGACCGGTTTTTGGGGCACTGAGCTAGGGGACCGGTCGACCGTTTGCGTCCTGCCTCTTAGGTTCTGGATCAGCTTCCGGGTGCGAAGGTGTTGAGGTTCACTGGGGAAACCAGAGCTCAGCTCCCCAGCTCCACGACCGATGTCTGTCATAGTATGTCATAGTTCTGCCGCTCCCAGAAAGACCCCTCTGGCACCAGCCTAATGTAGGTATACTATACATGGAGTGTCTGGGATATCTTTTCTCGCAGCACTCTGATCAGATCGCAGCACATCTGACTGGTGTCAGAATCACCTGTCCAGCGAAGAAGCCAAACATGTGTGCATGATCATGGACTGCTCGTCAAGGCTAGCCAACAAGCAATCAGGTCAAAGCCTCGTTCCGATTCCTTTTTATTGAGCCATGGCAGCAACAATTTCGGTGCTGCGGCCAAGTGGTGAAGCCCTGGTTCTTGAAGTCACGCCTGAGACAACAGGCAAGGAGCTTAAGCAGCAGATCAAGGAAGGACAGCCTTGGGACGAGCTCACTCACAGCACTACAGGTGTCGAGGTCATTGTCGGAGACGACCAATTGCTGGCCAATGATGCAAAGGTATTGGAAGCTGGAATTTCTGAAGATACTGTTGTGAGTGTTGTGTTCAAAACAAACAAAGTGATATGCTCCGACAAAGATGCGATCGCCAGTCTTGGCGGCATCGTTGGGTCCGAACTGCTGCTTGTGGTCGAAATTCCAGACACTGAAACACGGATCTGTTTTTGCGCTTTTGACAGTTGCGACACATTGGCCAAAGTGATCATCCCAAACTCAGTGACCCTCATTGAGGATTATGCCTTTGCACAATGCAGCTCCTTGGTTAGCGTGACTATCCCAAACTCAGTGACTGACATCGGGAATTGCGCCTTTGACGGTTGCAGTGCTTTGGTGAGCTTGACCATACAAAACTCAGTGGCCCAAATTGGGAGCTGTGCCTTTCAGTTTTGCACGTCTTTAGTGAACTTGACCATCCCAGACTCTGTGACCTACATTGCGGGTTTTACCTTTCGTGGTTGCAGCTCTTTAGTGAACTTGATCATCCCGG